AAAAAAAAAAAATACAAAAATATATAGCTTTAAGAGGGTTAGGCCTACCCTAAAATTAAGGAACGCTCGACCTCGACACGTGATATCGAAATGGGCGAAATCGCCTCTTGATATCACTAACTCTCCTGACTCCTGACACTGATAGTGTATTACCGCTCCGACTGATTTAGTATTTGTTTATAGACGATCGTGAGGTACTGCCTGACTGACGCTGATTCTAATCATGTTTTAGACTGAATAGAAAGCTGAAGTCTGGTACACCAGTAGCTGTTGGGGTGATGAGTTCATGAAAAATCCTACTTTTGAGGTTCATCCATTGAGGACGCTTTTTTTCAGTTTTCCTCGAAAACTTTTCGCTCCAGCGAAACGGGCAACTAAAGAGAGCTGAAGTTCAGCATAGAAAAGATTTAAAGAATATAGATAGAAAGATAGATAAACTTAGAAAGATAGAAAGGACATTGATTTCAAGAAAATCCTAATTTCAGAATAGACCCCTAGGAGCAAAAATTAGTGGGACAGGGGACCTTCTTATTGATATTTTTCGATGGAGCGATGTTCGTTTCCGTCACATAATCGTCTCATTAGGGGCCGTTCACAAATTACGTAATGCAAGGGGGGGAGGGAGACACTTTGTCTGATCCCCCCTCTCCCCCTTGCTTTACGTAATTAGTGAACGGCCCCTTATATAACTACCATCCCGTCACATGACAGGATGTAAGATGACGTCACAATGAAAATTACTGAAAATCCATCAAGTTATCCACTTTATTGCGATTGCGAGCGCTGAATTGCACATGTTTCATAAAACTTTTATTTATTTATTCACGTTGTCAAGCGCTGAAGGTGCGAGTATTGGGCGTTAGGTCTCCCGAAGAGCAAACAAAATCGCTAGTAGTATGTACAGCCAAATATTAACCATCTTCAATTGCAATCTGTTTCTACCGGAACGGCCTGTACAGTGCTTCCGCAATGAGTTCACACACCCTTGTAATGCAAACAATTTTTTTCTATGAGTCTACTGGCAGCAGCGGAACAAACGTTTCCTTCTGTCTTACGTCTGACGTGAACTGGTATTCGGTAGGTGTCCCTAAAGTTGAATCACCAGTAGCGCCAGAGCCGTTATGGGGGTGTGTGAACTCACGAATCACGAAAGCATTGTAAGAATGTCTGCATTTGTATTTGCCTCTCATTTTCTCCTTGATAAAAATATTTGGGGGAGGAAGAGATTTGCTTTTCGCAAGACCCCACTGGCTTCTGAAGGTGCAGGAATTCATCCTCGGAATGAAAGACGAAGGTTTGAGAGTTGCTCAAGAATTTTTCCCTCCCTCCCCCACTGGCGTCTGCACGACTTCCACAATTATGCATCCGCCACAAGATGCCTGCTGAAAAGGCTGCTATTTTAGAAAAATGGCGTCCGCCTCTGTGAAGTTTTTAAGCTGGCATGAAAGCCTTCATGGGTAGACATACGACAACGAATCCTCTACCAGGAAAGTAAATTTGATTAAATTAAATTGGGGGATCCCCCCTTGTCTTGCGTTCTTGGCCCCTCATTTCCCTTCGGGGTTTGCATTCATAAACTCATTTGGTCACCATTGGTCAATTGGCGACTTCTCTGTCTCAAATTGATTCCATTGAGACCGTTTATTTGATATGTCGGCACACAAAAACTGATGAATTTTAGATGTCTTCGGTGGCTTGTGAAGGGGGGGGAATTGGATACGTTGGTAGCCTTACTTTGGAGAAGGGCACCTTAGCGACAGCCGTGGTATAAAAACACGCTCCTTATGGAGCGTGGAAAAAAGGAAGGGGGGGGGGCCAGTGGCGTAAGCCAAGATTTCGCCAAAGAGGGGGCTTAGGCGAACAGGGGATTGGGGGAGTTAAAACTTTCCTAACCACTCCTGAAGGGAGGGAGAATAGGGTGGCGGTTGCATGCCGACCAGAGTTTAGGAGACTAGAGCCAAACTTTGGATGGCTGAAGCCTCCTCCCTACACCACTGGGGGTGAGGTTGTCGACCTGCTAATGTTTGAGAGAGCATCAGAGTCAACGTTAACGTTTCAAAGCATTAGCTCTCCTTTTTCTGAACAAGAGACGTCTCGGTTTGATATAAGCTTGACTGCCTCCTCAGGTAGGCTAGTCACACATAAAGGCTCAGCATCTCCTCAGGCACCAATGCGAATCACAAGTGCAAATTAGACTCCGTTTTGCAAGAATACAGGGTGGCAAAAAAAATTCATACGTAAATATCGATAGATATCGAATTCTTGGAACTAACAGCGAGCACGATGCCAGTCGAAATCACTAGAGGCGACGAGACGCTCCCACTCCGATCAGATTAACACAAGATCTCTGATTCAAACAGAAGAAATCCCATTATTTCAGTTTTGCCACAACACCCATGACCAGTGTTCGTGGGTGGTGGACTTCAGGCGACCAGAAAAGTGCGAACACCAACTCTATTGCAAGAACAAAACACATCGCAATGCTCCACAGATCAAGCCCTACACATTTATTAGTCTCACTTCAAACCTTCCGGAGGTGCTGATTTGAAACCAGCTAACCGAAACAAGGGAACATTTTAGGGCTAAATTTAGCTATTGCTTCCACGTTGAGATATTTCTGGGAAGCGGTTGTTCCGAACGAATCAACGTTTCTCCTGAAGACCAAGTTACATTTTAATGCAATTCCCGATAACATACGTGACACGATCCTCGTCGACACGGCTCCTTCCCAGACGGCCCCGTGGCGACGGAGCGAAA